TATTCACGGGCAAGTTTCTTTCGCTGCACTTAATCTGTTGAACGGATCTGACCATGAACAATATCTTTCGGATAGATTCAGCCGAGGAAGATCAGCTTCAAGGAAGAGGGCAGTGTACAGTCGCGATTTTCTTATTACAGCAGAATTGTTAATGTAAGAAGTTACTTCAATCTCGTCCTTCTATTTTGCATGGACCTGTATAATTGTGTCTCCTTCACAGTACCTAAAAAGGTAGGGTGGTCTCAAAATATCCCGAAATGCAGTCTTAAAAAGTTCTTCCGCTTCAGCACCCACGTCACCCGAACTTTAGAACCAGAATTCCTGTTTTTGCAGTTACCAGGTTTTTTAAAGGGAAGTGATGCGGTCGCAGAACCCCGGAAGTGAGAGTACAGTCGCTAAAGGGCATGTGAGAGAAGCAGAAATCAGGAGGGCTGCCTAAGTATCCGTCGTATCAGGCTCTCCTTTTTGCAATCAATGAGTTTGCTCGATGATGTCAACATCTCCCTTTATCGGTATTGCTTGAACTGCTACAGTTTCGATGCTGCCATATTTCATTATTTAATCGCCAGCCTTCACTACCACGTCGACACGTCCAATTTGGGGCGGAGCTGGCGAGAACAAGCCTGCTACTAACCTCTCATTCCTAATTGCGCTTTTATGACGCGAAATATCACGTTCTCAATCACCAGTGTACTAGGACTTTTGTGCTCTTATAGAAATTTACATCCGCTCTAATCTGAGATCCAAACCTCAAATTGATCTAAATGGGATGAAGTTTCGCCATAAATTCATTTTCGTGTAGAAATTTAAACAAATTCCGTTACCGTGCGCTGCAAATCGACATGACCCAGCCGGAGAATGTTCGTCTCTCCTTAGTCCTTATGAATAGAGTCTTCCAACTTTCATCCAGTCCAACAGAACCTGGAGTAAAGTGGAACCTCCTCCGACCTAGGGCGACCAAATTTTAGCTGTCATTGCTCTCCTGACCGTAACTCTAACCCTGACCGATGTCTTCTTTGGCAATTTGAAACCTTGGGTTCGCCATACAGAGAAGTAGGTGAAGAGTAACCGGAGGACCTTCATACAGGACTGCCTCAACAGTAATTATGGTCCAACTGGGTGGAAAAAACTGATAAGCTATTTTCGGCTCCTTACTTACTTTTTTGGGAAAGTACAACTTCGCGCTATTCTGACCGGTACACCTCAGTAACAAAACAGTTTTCTGAATATTCATTAATGAAACGGATGATTGCACTTCATTAAACATTGGGTCATGGATGCAATCAAACGTTAAGAGGTACTGTAGAGAAGGAAAGATACGGTATTCTATATTCTTATAGGAAATAATAGCAGAATTAGTCAAGAAAGAGGTGTGACTAGTCGAGATATATGTGCCATTGAAAAGGGGCGGGATCACAGAAAGAGGCGGAAAGCTACCAAATAGGGAAACAGGGATGAGGCTTATGCATAAAAAGTGTAATCTCTGGGGGTATAGTAAGAGAACAGAACATGGCAATTTGAAAAGTCAACGCTAGACTCCTACGGGAACAATTCGGAAGGGTAGGAGGATTTTGTTTATTGAGAAAAAAATGGATAACACAATGTAGCAAATATCTCAGGTATGGAGAAATGGAGGGATTCCTTAGGTATACCTGCAATCAATAGGATTCCAATGTGCTTATTGGGGAGATGGTGCGTGATTAAACATTTTCAAAGTGTTGGTTAACAATCAAGCCAGACAGTTGGGTCATGCTAATGAGGTTTGATCAACACGACACTATAAAGATAAAGGATAAAGTTTTTGATGTCAATCAATCCCGTTTCTAGAATGCGCCCCGCGTTCGATTCTCACCCAGTATCATGCGGTGTTTTGAATGCGTATTGGGCCTTTTCGGTGAGTTGCGATGCCCAGCCGATGCACGAGTCAGTACTTTTATCTCAGACGAGTCTGGTACTAATTGAGCGACCCTGGAGAGATGGGAGCTCAGGCCTGGGCAGATATAGATCCGGGATCCGATCCCCGGCTCATTCGTGTGTGTTAGTGTTCCACTTACTTCTACACCCACTTGCACCATAGAAATTAACAAACGGCAAAGAAATTAGAAGATGTCCTATAGGTAATGTGATGCCTTTGAAAAAGGAGGAGCAGCAGTCTTGCAAAGCAAGCTTCAAGTATGACAGCTTAGGCTTTCAAAGGCTCCAGTTGCTAATGGTGTAACAGAAGGCCCTGAAGGCTTCCCATTCCAGTTTTGAAGAGTAAAATGACAAGGAGGTACTCTCGAAAACTAACGTCGTTGAGTTCAACGAAACGGTGGAAAGGACTTGCCCCAAATGAAGTAGTAACGTCAGAAAGGCAACTATAGTGGGTGTTGCTTTTCCAAGGAACTAAGGTTCGGTGAACAACAAATTAGCGGTGGGCGCTTTGACCGCTGCATCCGGTTCATGTAGTGAATGAAAAGCTAAGCACGCCCAATCAGGAAAATTGACTTCCCTCCAGTATTGGTTGTCATAAGGATCGCTCTTCAATATTAGGGCAAACAAAAAGTATTGCCTCTTCGGAGAAACTGGGATTTTTTTGGGAACGTTCTGGAACGTTCTGGAAATTTCCATAGAAAAACATATAGAAGAAGTTTAGGCACTTGCATGCGCAGAACATACCCGGGGATTCGATGACATTGCAGGCGATTGAGCAAATTGAGGCTGATCTCCAATTTTGTTTCCGAATTTGATGGGTTGGAACCACGCATACATAGAACCATACAAAAGGGACATCAATACGAAATTCTTGGCCCAATTTTCTATGGGCTCAGACAAAGGAGTGACAGGGTTCAAACTCGAAAGAAGTATACGTCGGATGGGAGGCATGGTTTTACAGCTATGAAGGGATGCTCTGTAACTTTATGGGACATTCCAGAACATCTCAAAAACCCACAGATATACTCCTTACCACCTAATATCTCAGCGAATAGGGAGAAAATATTTGGCTGCTATGTATTAAGCTCAGAATCCATGAGATTCGGTGATTGTTCGGATCGGTTTCTGACATAATGGCACTTGTGTCCAGGGAACAAAGAGAGTAATGGAATTATTTTTTCTAATTTCCGGGATGGGCGGACGTTGCAATATCTATTACGTAAAAGGTCACATCAGCTGAGGGGTACGATGCCGCTGAGAATTACTGGAAGGAATTCGAAGATGTCTTGTGATACTTGATGAATTACTTTTAGAAGAACTAGACAAGCAGCATAGTGCAGTTCCAGTGCAAAGACAAACTGAAAAAAATCGGGCTTGAAAATGATGTGAGGCCATAACTCATGGGTGTTCTGAGCGCTGGGGCGTTGCTGTAACCATTGGATAGAGCTTATTCCGATTGCTAATATGAATCGGAATTTACATAGATATTGCTTTGCATAAACGAATTACCGGTGATTACGCCAAGTTTTTCTCAGAAATGATTTTTCTCTATAGGTAGTAGGATAATTCCATTTTACTGCAAAGGCGTTTCACAAATGCGATTATAAGAGCATAATTCTCTACATAAAGCCCTCTAGCCTCCGTACGCGCCATGTATTCGGTCTCCATTCCAAGTCGCTGGGCGTTTGAATACGTAATTTGGCCATCGCCAGGGATTATTTGGAACAGGCAGTGTACCAATACCTTTTTTGTCATAGCGAATTTGTTTAGTAACAATTGACCGGTTCTGGTGGTGGTATAGGACTGATTTTTCAAGCGGGTATTGAACTGAGACACGGCAAGGGTCGTACGCGTTGTAGTCGCGCCACCTGGCACTACCTCAAGTCCGCTTCAAGTAGTGTAAATGTAGTCCTTTAACTAAGTAATAACTTCAGGTCACAGAATCACTTCTTCCTTGGTAAACATTGGAGAATACAGCGAAACTGCTAAGCTTGTCACCAATGATCACCCTTTTGGAGCGTATTTGGAGTAGCAAAGACAAAGACCTAAATACTTGAGAAAGCCAGCTTTAACCAGGTGGAAGTAAAAAAAAAGTGAAAAAGTAGATTGTTACAAAGAAATGGATCACTCTGTCACCATCATAAGTCGGCTATGCGAATTTGAAAAGGCCATGTCCTCCCCCTGTGTGCTGTGTACACCAATGAGCTAGCTGTTTTTCGTTTTTGTTTGTCTCTTTTTTTTTGCCGGCTAACAGGCTATTGAGCGGTAACCGTGAGTAAATGAACCCCTGTCTCTCCCTTTATGTGTCTTACTCTTACCTTACTCTTACATTTTAAGGAGCTTTGTACATCATGACTAACGTGTTCAACACCTTCAGCTTTAACAAGTGGGCTGATTCAAAGAAGGAAGAGGAGATCGACAAAGAAAGCAAGAGACGTCGTACTGAACAGGTTAGCAGCTAAGGAATAGAATTATAATGTAATACTCAATAGACATGTATTAGTAGAATCATTAGACTCGGGGCTTCATGAGCGTCACTATTCTCAGTTTCGAGTCCTAGACTTATCGTTCTTTTCCCTGGCCTCCCAAATAAAAGCTAAACAGCGGGCAGCCAGGGTGCATTTTTATGTTTTGTGTTGAAAATTGTTATATCCGTTCGTAAAAAAACATCAGTAGACTTGGCTCGCGTCTCAACACTGTATTGGAGGAGTTACCCTCATAAAAGTCGGGAGAATTCAGTGTGCTTAATAAGTCGTCCGCCTTGGGTGTGTACGTTGCCCAAGCCAGAATTAGAGAACTTATTAGCCCTTTCTTGACTCCTTTCCGCTTGACAGCGTTCCTTAGGCTATCCTCCGCGGTCACAGGTTCATGCTAGGGAGAGATCTCAGAAACCGTTTTCAACGGGAACTGTACATACCTTTAATGACCATTTCCATGGGGAACTCTATACTTTGCGAAATTACAGGTATTTGAGGCAGCATTATCACTATTAGCGAACAATAGTTTTTTCCATTTTTTTCCCTTAGTGAATATTGCATTTAAAAGTCACAGAAAGTCCAAAATGCAGTTTTATCAAATGAAAAAAGAACCGGACCAGAGAACTCCTAGAATGAGCAGTTAAGAAGTAGGTTGAATAGTTCAAAAAGTCTGCTCCCGTCCCTCAAGAATACCGAAAATGGATTATAGACTAGGCTTGGGTAGAAAGGGATAACTCGTGATAGAGAATGATGACCTGCTTATCGAAAACCATTTCCTTGGAATGAGTTAACCGGTACAGGTCAGCAGCTACGCTGAATAGCCTTCCACGAAAGGATAAATTGCTATTTCAAAGGAATATACGTGTATTTCTATTGAATTGAATTGTTTGGTTAACAAAAGATAGCATTTACAGATAAAGCGTTTGAAAGAACGACTTCGTAGAGAACGAGAACTTCGAGAGAATGGAGGAAATGGAGATTTGGACTTGGAAGCCCTAATTGAAGCTTTACAATGTGGAGAAGAAATAAATGAACTCCGTATGTGAGCTCTGTGTTCAATTCTGATTGTAAAGTGACATGGGTTACTGGTTTAGAAAGAGGTCATAAATCTCAACGACAATGTGATTGTTAGGAAACAAATGGGGTATGTATAAGATGGAAGAGGCGACTGGCTTTGTTAAAGGCTTCGGTCAATTAGAAAATCGAAAAAATGGTGAATTCGATTGGATGGGTGCCTATTTCGCTAATTGTCTTTACCTGCTTGTCAGGGCAACCAATTTTACTCTCATCCTTCACTTTTTAAGGGTTGGAGCTAATGAATCAAAATCCTCCCACACTAGATTTTCACCTCTCCAAAAACTGATTCTGAGGCAATTTCCTATTTCAGAGGTCGCTACGCACACTGCTCAAAGTAGGGTAAAGTGCGAAAATCACAAAATTCATTAAAAAAAAATACTTTCCCTCTAAGGATACGGTACTAGCTGTACGATTAGTAAAAGAATTGCTTTGCTCACTGTTTCAACCTATTTTCATTCAGAGGTCGATGAGGAGCCCAAGGTCCATCACCCAACCAGCTATGCAGGTAGGTCTTATAGATGTATTGAGGTTTTCCCGATTTTGACTCTTCTTACCAGCAACATAAGCTTCTATTTGAATTTTCTGGCCCCATCTGAAGGGAGTGCCCGGATGTACTAAGGGCCGGATTAATTCAAACTAAAAATAACCCGGGAAAGGAGCTATAAATTTTTTGTGAAACTCATTTTTTATGTCTTGGGTTCTTTGAAAGAGTTGGAATTATCCGCTGCAAAGAAAAAAATGCTCTTTGCTGTGAAAAATTCAGTAAAATGTGGTGAAGACTTTGGGCGCTGACCGGTTTCGTTCAGGAATGCGCCGCACATAGGAAATCCATTTAGAATCGTAGTAGCGATTGAATGGGATTCTCCTATGAGGGCGCGATCTATGCAATTGCGATGGAAAGCCAATGTACACATCTGTGTTTTTGTCCTCCCAGACGGGTCTAATACCAATTAACCGACCTCGGAAGGATGAAAGATTTGGTTAGCCGGGGCAAGGATCTCGCCAGGATTGACTCTCGGACCATGTGTTTGTGATAGTGTACCAACGTCACCCTAAATCTTAGAAAAAAAAGAACCTTTGCCTTCATTCCAGTGATTTCCCTACTTCATCAGCTAACCTTCATGGAAGTTTTTTAGGAAATAAACTGCTCTAACCTTCTCACAATCGGGCGAATTTGGTGTGATGGCAAGTGGCGTACTACCTTACACGCACGGTCACGGGTTTGAATTCTGGATCGATATCCGCCCAATCCAACCTAGCCTTCCATCCCTAGTCGGTAAAAAGGCACCAGACTCGTGTGTGAGAATAAAAGCACTGACCTGTACATCGACTGGCCATCGCGAGTCATTGTATANTGGATGCGATATTCGTGTTCTACAGGTCAAATTACCCCCCTAGGCAAGTTTCTAGCCGGTTCCATCTTCATTGAAAAAATTCGATAGAAATCCAGCCCTTTCTCGACAGAGTGGGCAGTAAAGGGTAAATAGTGCCTCTTTTTCTTTATCCTCCTCTTCATCCTTTTACTCTCAAGTTTCAAAAGGGATCAGTTACTTCTTTTCCAGAGGCGTGTAGCACGGGTTACTGTACCTCACTTTGGCACGAATGAATCCACTCATTATCGCTCTAATTGTAAGAAGAAATGAACCCTTCAGAGTATGAAAACCATAGAACTGCTAACGAACATCTAACAAAACCTCGAAAAACATTCCGAAGTGCGAAAATCGAGGCGTATCCGAAAGTGCTAGTACAAAAAGGATTTCTAGTACAAGTTTCTCTCTGCATTCCACGTTGTTCACAATTTCTGCACATAACCAGCAATTAGAGTAGAAAAAATAGTGTAACTCAGAAGTTGTACGGTAGAATTAACGAAGAGTACGTGCTGAAGCAAAGATTTAATAAATTATCCTATCATATTCACTTGGAATTGGCTTTTAGCAAGCAAAATGAGAAGTGTCATTTGAAGCCGCGTTGAAAAAAGAATAAATGACTATGAATGTTATCGGAAACGAAAGGTACCCTGATAGCGACTAGTGCAGCTTTGACAGGAACTTGTAATTGCCGAAATCTGGGAATTGCATGATTCAGCTCTTTGCAACTAATTGTAAGAAAAAAAA